CTGCAGCCTGTAGTGAAACCCCGCATCAGGGCAGGTGGATGCCTGAAGGAGGTTGTGACCCCATGGGAAGCCCATGCTGCAGCACACTCCTGGCAGGAGCAGGTTTGCTGGCAGGACTTGTGACCCTGTGGAAGGGACCCACACTGGAGCAGTCTGTTCCTGAAGGACTGCACGCCATGGAAGGGACCCACACTGGAGCAGTTCATGAAGAACTGTAGTCCATGGGAAGGTCTGATGTTGGAGAAGTTGGTGGAGGACTGTCTCCCATGGGAGGGACCCCATGCTGGAGCAGGGGAAGAGTGTGAGGAGTCCTCCCCCAGAGGAGGAAGGAGTGGCAGAGACGTGATGAACTGACCACAACCTCCATACCCGGTCTGCCTGTGCCGCTCGGGGGAAAAAGGTAGAGAAAATTGTGAGTGAAGTTGAGCCTGGGAAGAAGGGAGGGGTGGGAGGTGTTTTGAGATTTGGTTTTATTTCTCATTACCCTACTCAGATTTGATTGGTAATAAATTGATTTCCCCAAGTCAAATCTGTTTTGCCCAGGACAGTAATTGCTGAGTGATCTCCCTGTCATCTCAACCAACAAGCCATTCATCGTATTTTTTCTCACTCTGTCCAGCTGAGGAGGCTCCCTGATGGAGCATCTTGGTGGGCATCTGGTGTCCAGCCAAGATCAACCCACCACATCTATCATCATAGCCTTTTCTGCTCTTTATAATTTCAGGGTGAAAGTTCCTTGTGAAATCTGCTTGATGGAAGAAAACCGTCTTAAAGTGCAGATGAGCACAGTGTTTCTTATTGAAGCCAGATTAACAAATAATGATTTTCTCAGTTCTTTTTAAGAATTCTTGGTTCAACAGTAATGAATGAAGGCAAACTATAAAAGAATTCAAAGCAGTTATTATGTATCTCAGTAAAAATGAAACATGTTTTTGCTGTGCCTCTGGCCTCACCATTACACAGCTGGTTCCTAATACGTTTCAGACGCTTTAAAATATTCCTTCTACTATCTGAACTAGTATTAGAGTTATGGGATAACTCCCACATCACCATTGGTTTTTTTCAAGTTCTTTTGTCGTGCAATATTTTTGCATCAAAACCTGTAACAGTTAACTGCCCTAGCTTGTTCCTCATACTAAAACCAGAACTACTTTTCAGCCTGCTCAGAAGATCCCACTGTTCTGAGGACAAAAAGTTCATTCACCAGCTGCTGCTTCTCTTCTTGTGCTTGCTGTTTCAAATCAATCAGCTCCTTCTTCAGTTTCTCAATCTGTGAAAAGAGAAATCAAGAAATAACAGCTGGGGGGAGGGAATTACCTTTGCCGTGTTCTTCTTTTCAAATTTAATTATGAGAAGACACAGAAAGAGGGAAAAGGTCCCTCATTTGCGCCGTTCAGGTCAATTAAACCATGTTTAAAACTGTTTGATTTGTGTCGAGCATAGGAAATAATGTAAACTTAAACTATAAAACCCCACATGTATTAGATACAAACAGATCTGTGACTCTACTGGAGAATATAAACTATGTGGACAGAGGGTTTTCTTCCATGCTGTTTTGGATAGTGGTGCAGTGTTAGAGAAGCAGTTTAGAAAAGGAGAAAAAAACCCAGACACACAGGCAGCTGGAAAAAGGTCCAAGTAAGATCTATATTGGATAGGCTGAAAAAGAATGGTGGGATGTGAGCAAGAAAGTTGTTTCCTGCTATTTGACCTCACCAATGTCCTGGGGATCAGAGCTTTGTATCTTCTTATTCAATACATAGGATGTTAAAATAATTTAATTTTTGTTTCCATTTTCAGGTTGTTTTTTTTTTCCTAACTGAAAAAGGGTTTTGCTTGGTACTTGGATTTAGAAAAGTAGGAATAGGACTGAAGTGAAATAATCTGCCATAGAGTGTAGGGCTTCTTTTTCTTCACTGTGTTCTGAGTTTGGCTCTATTTTGTCTAAAACCTTCTCCAGTTAGCTAAAACCAGCAGATCGCCCCTTAGCTTTCTCTTTTTTCAAGCTGAACACACGCTTCAGCCATCATGTGCTGAAGCCCCCGACCATTTCAGTGCCCCTCCCCTGAATGCATTCCGGTATATTAATGCCTCCCTTGTACTGAGGGGAGTCGGTCGGTCGGTCGGTCGGTCAGTCAGACAGACAGACAGAC